AAACCTTGTAATCTCTCACTCGGAAAACATGGCTAAGCATCGCACCCTGAACGGCACAGCCACGAGCTACACACTCACTCGCGTTCAACGTCCGTCCAGCCTCCTTCCGAAATAACGAGTTCAGACTCCTTGTGATCACAGGGACCCGAGAACCAGACCCAACAAGCTCCACCGCGTGAACCTTATCCACTGTCAATCGAGATTCGTGCAAAGCTTTACGGCAAGAAATCTTGATCCTCTCCAGCAATCCGAATGCCAGCCTCTCAAACTCTTCCCTCTTAATATATCCCTTAACATCTTTTTCATCCATCATACACTCAATGTTTAAAATAGCCTCCGGATTGGCACTCAGGACCTTCTTCAGCTTCTCACATGCGGCCCTCAGCCTTATGGAAGCGCGTGCACTTGAACAAACGTCGATTTTGTACTTTTCCCGAAATTGAGAGGCAAAATGTCGGTACAAAACCTCATCAAAGTCCCGTCCTCCTAAATTGCTGTCGAAAGCATGGGATAGCACCGTCATGTGATTAGACTCAAACGAGACAACGGCAACTTGGGTATCACTATGGCCTATATCAACAAAAACAACATTTGTTGAGCCTCTCCCAGGAAAATCTGTCTTATATATACCATATCCAAGCCCGATAGCCGTACAGTCATGCATCAACCTCACGGGCTTCAGGCCCGCTATCTCAGCTGCGTGCAGGTACGCTGTCCTCTGATTAGCCGTGTAGTAAGAAGGCACGCCAATTACACAGTTTTCGACCCGAGCCCCGAGATTTTTCTCTGTGAGCTGCTTTAAATGAGATAGAAGCATAGCTAGAATCTGAACGGGAGTGAAAACCTGTTTCTCGGCCAGGTAATTAAGGTGGATCAAGATTCCACCATCAGGGCCTGCGGTGGTCTTGAACGGGAAAAGCTTGAGGTCTTCCTGTATTGAGGGATCGTTAAACTCACGTCCGACGAGCCTTTTGACCTGTGAAATGGTCGATTTTGGGTGCATTGGGGCAGACGCAGCCCCAGCCGAGCCAATAAACCTCTGTTTTTCACCGAATGAGACGATCGTGGGATTTTCACGTTTAGACTCATCGTTCAACAGGACATCTATGCCGCGCTTTTTGGCCACTGCTACTACACAGTTCTTGTTTCCAATGTCGAAACCCACGACGGTCATTCTTGAGCTGGTACAAGCCCAAAAACGCAGGAAAGCTCCGAACTTTGACAGACTTACATACGGTTTTTCACAATCCCATGAACAAATAGAAAATCAAATGGGAATTTCCGAGAACAAGCAGGGGAATCTTCAAGCAAAAGCACAGAATCTTCAGACAACGATTTCACTAAAGCTGAATTTCAGGTATCTCATCGGCACAAACTTCTTAAACAAAGAAACAGGGGATGAAATTCACCATTCATGCGACCGAACAACATCGAAACAAAAATGTCGAGTAAATTAAAATGTCGAGAAGGTTTCGAACCAGAAACATACCTCTGCTGCCATTACAACATTATAGCGAGGAGAAATAAAAACCTTAAAAGCTTGAAGCTGCGAAAAATGGAATACACAATTGGGAAATTCTCCAAAATGGTCGCTAATTTGGAACGGACATTGTCATACGCAATTTTACTGACTATATAAACTGCGCGTTGGCGTCAGGCTTTCTTGTTCCCGCTTTTTTAAATTTCAAATTTGAACATTATGAATTGACTTTTGACCTGTCTGACTTTTGACCTTTCTTTTGACCAAACATTATATTCAACGCATTTGATGACATTTGATGACCAAAAAGAGTCAACGTATGCCAACATGACAAATAGTCTTCCTTAGACAATCACGTTTGTCTGATTATTCTCAATCTTGTCTTCATTTTCCTACCTGATTTGTAAGCCTTAGATTTGTTCAGTTGGATTGGTAGCCAGCAACGTCGACTAATTCGTTGGTCGACCCGGGTCGCACACCTGGCAGAGGTGTGTGAGTCTCTCAAGTCTCAACAAGCGATTCTGCATCTACAAAGACTCGAATCCGAGACCTTACTAAAGCGGCATCAAGCTGCTTACCACTTGAACCAACCCATCTTGATTCGTCGATATTCTTAAATATAATTGGAGACAATATTTTTCATATCTTTTTTTCGCCTTTTTGAGTTACACACATAACAACTATTTTATTTTATTTTATTTTAATCATCAATGAGTTCATCTCTATATGCAATCACCATTTTTTTTTTACATTTTGTGACATGATTTCATCACATTAATGCATTATCTATTGTTATTAGCTTTGTCCCAGTTCAACCGCAGGACCATTCCATGAAATAATCATAATGTTGAACCATTGAAATCCATGAAATAATCATAATTTCAATATATTATTTCGTCTTTATATTATTCATTTCAAATAGAGAAATTTTCAAAACCAGGTATTGAAATTGAGTTTGAGTCTCTTTGCTGGGAGACTCACTCACCACTGCCAGGTGTGCGACTTGGGTCGACCAACGGATTAGTCGGGTACAACTCCGAATACCATGGCTGGCTACAAAAAAAAAAAAAGAGTTTGACTCAGTTTTGACTTATAATTTGATGGATAAATATTTAATTTGAGGAAAATTAAATTATGTAGAAAAATTCTACATTCGAATAGATACTTGCGGTATATTTATTTTTTCAAAATTGATTTTGGGTGAGTGGGAAATAATTTATTAAAGTTTTTTTAATAGGAGGATCAATAGTGTTCTACTTCCCTTCCTCGATGATTTGAACCTATGACTATCGGTCATATGTGAAGCGTCTTACCACCAAGCTGCGTTTCGGTGTCAAATAATTTATTAAAGTTAAACATTAATGAGCACGTAAAACGATAATTGTGAGATTCGAATGGTTAAAAGTCCCACATTTGATTCATAAATAAGGATAACTCTCTCTGTATAATAAAGACAGTTGGAGAGGTTACACGCACCAAGTACGGTAGTGGATTTGGCCAAACACGCGCCCCGATCAACGGGCTCGGCTCAGCTCAAGCATGAGCCTTGGCCTTGGATCTTGGGCCTTGGACATTGGACGTGGGCGGCCTTTGATGGTTTAAACCAGCGTCTGGCTTGGGCCTAACCAGCTTATTTGTAAATTGTTGCCTAAAATAAACTCCAAATCGAGTTCGAATTGTATTCAGGTTTTAACCTAAGGCGTGTGGACCCTTTCAAATACAATGCATCTGGACATGTTGACTCCACCTGGTTGGTTGTCCTGGAAATTTAACAATTGAAATAGTGGCGTGTTAACACCTAACACCTACAAGACGGTCTAACAGTTTTGACGACCTTTACAACAACAACAACTATTAGGTCGTTACCAGTCTTAAGTGGCAGCTGGTTCATGGTTTCCACACCTAACTTGGAACTCTATAATAAGTTCTTAGGTTGCAGCAGGGATACAAAAATACATATGCATTCTTACACTTTATTGAAAGCTCGCGCATCATACATATTGTTCAGTTGTCGACTCTGTTTTAGTTCACCGGAGCTCGAAAGTCTAGTGTGCTACAGCTTACGAGACGTTTTTCATTGTATTTTTGCGAACAAGACACACAGACCCGTTAGCAGTTAACACACTATATGGAGCGTATTTGTATTACAGAAAGAGAATATTCTCGCCTGGACTTTAATCTTTCTGCTTAACATTGTATTTTTTATTTTTTTCTTCTCTTAGAGCGGAACACTTCAATTTAAAGAATTCTCACCTACCTTCACAATTTTTTATAACATAAAACAATCGTTTATATTTTTCTCGGATAGCAACTCTAGATACTATGGCACGAAACATGGGCATATAGCGGTTATAGAACCATCAAAGATTGATATGAACATTTGAAATCCAATAATCCATTGAATTGTGAGGATCACCCAACCAATTTCAATGGATTCATATACATAGTTGTACAAGTCTAAGAACTGGAAATGCCTCTATAATTCTCCAAATGAACATTTCAAAACATTGGTGGGAGACTCCTAACTGGGACATCTTTGGGATGCAACAAGTGCTTGCAAGATTTCAACACAAAAGCAATTTGCCGGTAAAAATCGGCCTTAGCAGAAAGCGCGTTTGAACTCAAGCGCTTTTTCATGTTCTTCAATCGGTTACCAATCTTGATCTTCAGCTTGATCATTTTGACCCTCAACCGAGATGGCCTTCTTCTCGCATCACTATCGGCTTTCTGCATAGCCTTGTAGATCAAGAATTGCGCCAAACGGTGCTTTGCTTCTTCCGGGTCTTCGTTTTCTATCTTTGAATATGCATTAGCTCTGTTGAGAAGAGCCATATGTTGAGAACAAAAAGGAAGGAAAAGATCAAGAGAAGGAAATGAAGGAGGGAAAAGTTGCTCAATTTAATGTTGAAGTTTGGTGCAGTATTTATAGTGAGGGTCTGAATTTTGGGTTCACCAAATAGTCATGTCATGTTTGCCTTTAGTTTTTTTTTTTTTTTTT